TAACAAATGCCAGTGTGACCAACGTCAGCTCAGCCCAGTGAGAGCCACAGTTTGGGAGGAGGAGAGGAAGAGGGTGGAGGTGGCTGTGCTGCCAGGGGCTCACACACCCCCATTGCTCTCACCCAGCCCTAACAGAGGTATTTTTACCCCCTGCTGCATTGGGCTGCTCTGCAAAGCCAACCCTGGTACGTCCCCTTATACCAAAATAGCAGATCCTCACAAGAAACACACACAATACATGGTGCAAAGCTGAACTGAGCAACAGTGCCTGAGTTACACCAGTGTACAAGGGATGGAGAACCCACACCTCAGCAGTAACACTGGTTACTGAAAGCTTTGCCTGGCCTTGTGAAACACTGTTATCTGTGGAATGGGCGTGTTGAAAAGGCTTTTCCAGGTTGTTTGCAAGATGCTGTCAGGTGGCACTGGCTTCCCTGCACCCTAGCATGTTCCATTGCAATGGTTTATAAGGGCAAAGTACATGGATGGCCCCCATCAGCTGCAGTAAGTGATATAAAAAAGCTGACCTTCATTGTAATATACCAAGACAGCACAATCCCTTGCAACTAAGAAGGAAAATAAATGAGTAGCAAGTGCACCCTACCCTGGGGTAAACCGGCACAGTATCATTTATTTAGATTTTGAAAGGAATAATTGCACCTACCCTTGACTCTAAGTACCCGTGTGTAATGGAGCAGACAGCAAATGCAATTAAATTAAACGTCAACAGCATTAAACATCAGTTCCTAACTCTCAACCTACCCCATCCATCAGCTAACAAGCACCCTGAACTTCCTCCAGAGACCTGCACACCAGAGCTCTTCTTGCCCTCCTCCCCGCTCTTTAGCAGGTCAATTCACCATGAGCAGCATGGGAGAGGAGCAGCCCTTTCCACAGCCCCACATTTAGGAAGGGATCCCAAGTAATTCCTTTATGGACGCTCAGCTGAAAGGGACCTGCAAATCCACGTGCCAGAAAAACCCCCATTTGTCAGTACCATAAACCAAAGGACTTCTGTTCCCCCTGTGAGCTGCCGGCCGGGCACAGGGCTGGTTTATTAGAGGTGAGGAGCCAAGCGCAGGGTCCCTGTCCCTCGGAGCAGTGGGCGTGTTCTGTCGCAGCCTAAACACACGAATCCCTCAGTGCAAGAGGGATGAAGGGGGGGAAAGCCCAAAGCAGCTGCACCAGATGGTGGCTTCCTCCTGAAAGCCGTATTTACGAGGAGCATCTGAACAGCTCCCGGATCATCACCGTGCCGACAGCAGCCGAAACCCCCCGCCCTGCCCGGCACCAGCTTTATGCTCCCCCAAAGTCACAACCAGGAGGTGTTGAGGGGCAAAAAAACCCTTCAGAGAGCGGAGTGTGGCAGAGTGCTGTGTCCTAACAGATGCGGGCCAGCACTGGGAAGGCAGAAACAACTCCAAATCCTCTTTGAGCCTCATTGCAAGGCTGGGGAAGCTCCCAGCTTCGCCACAGCCCCATGCAGGGAACATCTGCCTGCACCAGCACTGCCACAGGATGTGCCTTGGGGGAATACATGGGGGAATCCCTGACAGTTTGTCCCTCAGCCTCTTTCCATCAAAGACAACCTGCTACTACAGCTTTTGGATTAGGATTTTTTTTTTTTTAAGTCTTCTCAGTGACACGGAAGTAGCAGAATTATTGCTGGGCTGCTGCTGATCTCTGCAGCTCCAGGACGGTGCCTCCCTGATGTACTGCCCAGCCACGCTCCCTATACCTGCTTGGATTCAACTCCTGCTCCCTTCCCACCATATGGTCTCTCTTCTCTTCCTCTCCCTCCCTGCTCAGGAGCCTTTCCCAACGAAGCTTGCAGGAAAATGCAGCCTCCATCCCTCCCTCCCAACGCTCCGCAGGCGCAGCCCTTTGTTTGGGGACACGGGGTGTCTCCTTGGCGGGTGTTAATTAGAACGGTCACGTCAGCGCTCGCAGTACTGAGAGCCAGAGGGCACCAAGCTGGTGCTGCCCAGGATGGTTTGCATCTGCAGCCCTCTCCCAGACAGGATTTGGCAGTGTCAAGGCCCCCATTTTTTAGTTGTGGGATGGCCATTTCACAGTGGAGCTTTCGGCACAGGCAGGATGTGGAGGGATGGGGCACATGGAGCGGACACACAGCACAGCCACTCCCCACCACTTTATTTCTCCTCCTGCATCCCTAGGGGAGGGGGAAGGGAGGCATCAGCGTATCTGCTAAATTAGGGCAAGTCGTTCAGCACTGGCTGGCTGATCTGACACTGGAGAAGCAAAGAGGAATACAAAAAAACTGTGGGAAAACCAGAGTACTATGTAGAAAGAATCCCTGAATTCCTAAACAGTCCCTTTTATTCCCCCCCAGACAACTTAGGGAAATTTCACATTCAGCCTCAGGTTTCTGAGGCCTCCAAGGAGAGGAGCTGGGTGCTCCCCCAGCCCATGCAGAGACACAATTAGTACAAAGATCAAGAGGGATCTGGTCTAAAGATGACATTAAAGCACTTCCACACAGCACCCCCTCCCTCCCCACAGTCCCACAGCCGAGGGGAAACCAACAGGTGGGGAAGAGAACTTGGGCTCAAGGGGGTGGATGAGACAGGATTACCAAGGATGCTTTAAGTGGCTGCTGGGCAGAGAGTGAGGAAGTACATGTGTGACAATGGCTGAGGCAGTTAAAAGACATTAAAAGAACCAATTCCCCCATGTCCTTCAATCCTGGAGTCTCCCAGGCCCTTATGCTCAAAATGGAAATGAAGAATCAATTTCCTTCTCGGAGCTCAGCCCCGTTCTTTCCTCTCTCCCACTCATCCCCAAACGCTGCCCATTTCCCCCATTAAATTATTGCTGACAGAGCCCTTTAAATTACAATGCAGGATCTTGCACTGCCTAATCCACTTAACTCAACCCCAGCTGATTAAATTGGATGCCATATGGTGGGAGAGCACTGGTGTAATCCGCAGGGACGGGGACACACTTGACTCATTACCTGGAGCACAGCAGGGAGCCCTCTCACTACACACCTCTGCTTCAGGACCCTGCTGCCTGTCAGGGATGTGATTTCCAAGGTGCTGGTCTCCAGCAACAACACCAGCTCTGGCAAGGTGGTGGTGGTGACAATAAATAAAGCCCCAAGCAGCTTAAGGGCACAAATTATCCTCCATCTCTGCTGGCTCTGGCTGTTCCCCCAGCCCCAGCTGGTGCAGCAAACACTCAGTCTCCCAAGGGCACTCTAAAAACTGGGGAAATTTGGTGCTTGGAAAAAAACAAATAGGTGGAAGGAGGTCTGTCCGTGGGGAAACGTGCCAAGTAACTTGATTGCACGGATAGCTGGGATTGCAGCCCTCAGACTGGGTCACTGTGCAATGACGAGGATTATAATTAAAAAGGTCACAGCCTCTTTAATGATAACAGCTTGCAATGCAGGGCACAGCTGGAGAGAACATTCCCATGGTAAAGGGGAGATTCGAGGACACACCGAGCAGCTGTTGGCAGGAAAACATCTGGGGAAGCCAGCAGAAAGAAACACAGCCATCACCCAAACTAATAACACATCAGCACATCCCACAGTACATGTTATCCATCGGGAAAGCCCCATCCCAGGCACTGACAGCACTGCAGCACTCATGTCCGAGGTCACTGTGAGCCTCACCTTGTGACGTGTGAGGGATCAGGGCATCTCCCAGGCTCAGAATACACCTTTGGCAACCTGGTTCCCCTTCTTCTTGTCTTAGTGGCCAACTGTCCCTCTTTCCCAACCAGCTGCATGGCCAAATTAGCCACTGGCAGAAATTTTAGCTGCTCTCAGCCCAGGCAGAGCCTTTGCAAAACACCTCATTAGCTGCAGACCAGAGAGGAGCATTATGACAGGGTGAGAAAACACCAGGGCAGGAGACCCCAGTCCCCTCACACACTGCAGGATTGTCACTCCTTAATTACCTATGACTGCATGATCACCACACTGGAGATAGAGCAATAACACACAACAGGACCTGTTTCCTTACCTTTTTGAAGGTTTAAGGTCAGATTTTCAGTCTGCTATTGTAGGAGCTGTTAGTTCACCTCTAAAAGCAACAGGAAAAGTGAAACCCATGTGAGCATAGGTCAGGCTTTAAAAGGACAAGCAATTCCTGTAACAGCAAAGGGCTGTTCCCAGAGACAGCTGTGCCATCCCAGTCCCACAAACAGCATCACCTGTGTGGTCAAGTTTTGGTCAGCACAAGACTCACAGGGGCATTTTCTTTGCCCACCAGCAGCAAAACCAGCATTTTAAGCCAACTGCACTGCCAACATCTACTTTTCCCTGCACTTCTCCTGAAGTCCAACTATTTCAGTAACTTCCTAAAGGCATTTAGAGGTGTCAGAGAGTGAACACAAAAGGGGTTTGTCCTTCCCCTGGAGCTGCCCCAAGGGAAGAGCCGCAGGGGTGGCACATCTGGGAGGTGCCTCCAGCCCCCTCGGGCCACGCGTGGTTTTATTACTCCTGTCAGTCCATTAGTGGGTGATGGATGGAGGCTGACAGGGAAGGCAAGGCGCTCCCCTCGTTAGAGATAATAATATAATTTATGGAGCATCCCCAGGGCCCCGCAGGGCTTTACCAACCTTTGCTCTCATTCTGAGGGTGCTGAGGGTGCTGAGTCCCTTTCAGCCCATCAGATCTTGGTGGCAGGGGATGGAGGTGCTGAGCACCTGCCACAGCCCAGCCCCAGGGGCCTGATCCTGGCTACACAGTGTGCAGGAGGGTTTTGCAGCCAGCCAGGCACCAAATCCTCATTGCATGGAGGATTTGCAGAGCTCAGAGTTTGGCCTCTGCTTGCTCCTGCAGCCCAGCAAGATCCCAGATCCTGTGTGTTCCGTAAGTCCTGCATCCAGGACAAAGCGTGCCAGTAAAACCAGCACCATGCCAAATGTGCCACTGAGCTTGATCCGGCGTCATTTTTGAGGGGGGGATCCCACCACACCCACCTGTGGAGCTGTGGGAACCCCAGCAGCTTTGTCCCTCTGCTTTTCAGACCTGCACTTGGCCGCAGAGCTGGGGAAGACGCTGCTGGAGCGCAACAAGGAGCTGGAGGACTCCCTGCAGCAGATGTACACCACCAACGAGGAGCAAGTGCAGGAGATCGAGGTAGGGCCACTGCTGTCACCTAAGGACGAAGGGAAGGGGCACTTCCACCAATGCCAACAGCTCAGATGCCAGCAGAAGGACAGGGATGTGCCATAGGGCATGGGAGTTAAAGGATCTTCTGTACATGCCTGAAGCGGGATGGACCGAGGTCTGTTCTAGCCCATCCCAGCTCTGGAGAGGGTCTCTTTCCCCCACTGTCATTTTCCCTCTTCTCACATCCCCACCCCCTGCCCAGATGTGCTCACCAGTTTTTGGCGCCAGATTTTGGCACCAGGCTGCCCCTGGGTCACGCTTGGTCTTCCCCTGCCCATCCAGCAGCCTTCACACTCATTTCTCTTTGCTCTGCTGCAGCTTTCCCTTGATCCCAGTCACTGAGAATGGTGTTTGTTCCCAGCTGGCCCCTCAGTACCCCACAACACAGCCCCCTTTGTTAGAGGCATAAAATAGCTCTTTTTCCAAGAGCTGCAATCTAAACCACCATTTCAGGCATCCTTTGGGGTCATTTCTAAGAGCTCACAGAACTCATCTGAGAGGCTTAAACCTGCTGTGCCGGGAGGGTTTTCATCCACTGGAAAACTAGGGATCTGTGAGCTGAAAAAGATTGGACACCCCCTGATTTAAAAGGACACAGGGCAGAGGAGGGCTGGGAGTTCACAGAGCAGCACATGATGCTGCTGGGATCTGACAGCTGATGTTCAAGGGAACTGGTGGATGGATTTAGCCATTCCCCCTCCAGCAGCCCTTCAGAAGCAGGTCCACCGTAGGCTTTGGGGTCTGATCCCAGCTGAGAGTGAGCAACTGGGTAGATGCTGCTCTCCTGGTCTTCATAGGATAAAATCTTACAGTGGCAAACTCACAGAAAAGGGTCTGCAAACACATAGAAATCACAGGTCTCCTCACATTTCACAGACTCAGAGTTTTAGCCAGAATCCCCACGGAAACACAGCTTCTGCAATCGATCTGCCAGACAATCCAGTAACCAACTGGCCAATTTCAGTCAACTTTCGGTCTCAGGGATATCAACTTTCTTTGGTACTGGGAATAAAAAAGCAGCTGAATACAGGGAGATTGAGGTTAGTGCCCTTCACAGAGGGCAGGGGAAGTTCAATCCTATTTTGGGCACAAAACTATTTACAGTGGGCAGGGGGGATGAATATCATAACTGTGGAAGAGGCTTCACCCAGGCAGAGTCACAAAACACATTTATCAGAGGAAGCAAAGGCTGTAGGAATTTCTGCCTGTGAAACAACCTGGATTTTGGTTGTGGAGTGCTTATGCTTCACTTTTTCTTGCAGTACCTGACTAAGCAACTGGAGATGTTGCGGCAGATGAACGAGCAGCACGCGAAAGTCTACGAGCAGCTGGACCTGACAGCACGGGACCTGGAGCTGGCTAACCAGAAACTCGTGCTGGAAAGCAAGACCTCCCAGCAGAAGATCCAGTGGTACAGCCTCCCCTCCTCCCACCACAGTGATGCTGTACCCGAGAGCCCTTCACCTCACCTTTCCCCTGCCCCAAAGCGCAGCCTGTCCTTGATATTTGAGCCATTCTCTTATCAGTCCAGTTTTGGAGCTATTTACCACACAAGTGCATTGCAGTAATACTGGTTAGCAGGCGTCAGCCACAGCACAGACATCCCTGGGATGAGGGCTGGATAAGGAGGGTCTGAAGCTGCCAGGAAAGAGGAACAGGAGCCCTCCCTCAGATGAGTTTCCTTGAAGAGGCACATAATCATATCAGGGAGGTCCCCAGCAGAAACACTAGGCACAGATCCAGCATCTAATGAAACCCTGGCTAGTCCCTGCTGAAACACCAGTTTATCAATAATATTTCTTTCCCAAAACAAGCCCATGATCAAGGTCATCCCTAGAAACAACACCCCAAGCCATATCCTTGCAGGGCAGCATCATTTGCAAACAGCTGTGTGGAGAGGGAGTTTCAGAGCAGAGAGTTTTACAAATTATTCACCGCCAGAACAAAACTAACTCTTTGCCCAGTCTCTGTGTCTACCTCTACAAGGTAAACAAGGGGAAGAGATGCTTGTTTTCAGAGGAGAGAGACTCAGGATAGCGCTTAAATCACAGAGGAGACAATTCCCCCCTCCTTTCTATAATCACCCCCTTTCAAGAGTGACCACATAGAGAAAGACCAACCACTGCCACAAAAAGCTGTCGTGCTCCCAGGGCATATGCTGGGAACTGGAAGCACCTTCCACAGACTGGCTTTCTCTATGGGGAAAAAACCCCACCACTCAGGATCCTGTAGTGCCTGACTCCTCACCCAGGTTCTGACTTCTCTCTGTGCAGCTTGACAGAAACAATCGAGGGGCTGCAGAACCAAGTGGAGGAGCTGCAGAAGCAGGTGGAGGAAATGCGGAGCTTGGAGCAGCTCCGCATCCGGCGGGAGAAGAGGGAGCGGCGCCGAACCATCCACACCTTCCCCTGCCTTAAGGAGCTCTGCTCCAGCCCCAGGTACAGAGCCCTGGGTTCAGCAACCCCTCAAATCTTCTCCCCTCCTCCTCTGCCCACGAACAGGGGGTGCAGGGGGTGCACAGAAACCCACATACAGCCCCACAGAGTCGAGGCTGTGCCTCAGAGCCTGAAACCCGCAGCTGGAGGGGAAGGGAGGACGTCCCTCTCTTCTACCCACCCAACTAAAGCAGAGCCTTCATGATCCCAGCACGGTGATGCTTCCCTTCCCAAACCAGCACAGCATATTTTCCCTTCCCAGCTGCCTCCCAGCACAGCACCAGCACCTCTGGCTCTCTGAAACCAGCTGAGCTGGTGCATTTTGTGTTGTGTGATTCCAGCACACCCCAGGAGCACCGGTCACACACCCAGATACACCAAGTGCTGCCAGGTGCTGTACCAACACCTTCAGCACTACTGCAGCCCTAATCCTCCTTAAAACCCGGCCGCTGTGTTAATTCACTGACCTCGTGAGGGCACTTCTTGCTCAGCTTTGTCCACAGCAGAGGCTTCTTTAAATAGATAAGCAATCGATAAACTTTGTTACTGAAAGCACCCTCTGCCAGAGGATATGAACCAAAGACTTTCACTGCAGCAGCAATGGGAATGTTTATGAGGCCATGACCTAACCCCCAGCAAAATCCACTTAATGTTTTTGTGGTTCTTTACCCCCCAGCCCCCCAGTCCCACTATCCCCCCCATGCCATGGGACCTCGGTTCCACTTGCAGCTCCACAGTTGGCTCTGAAGGTCAGGCTGCCCTTCAGTGCCTTGAAATCTGTTCAATACCCCCCCACCACAGCCGTGCCTCCCAGGGGAAGCCACAGAGCCTGCTCTTTTCCAATCTGTTCTAAACAGACAGGATGCCATGGGCGCTTGAGGAGGAAAAAACCGAATTCCCAACAGCAACACGACGGAAGGGGGAAGTGCTTGTTATCACTTCCCGGGCTGTGAAGAAGGGGAAACTCTGTCAGAAGTCTCTGCCTTCCTTGCAAAAATCTTCTCCCACTCCCTCTGGAGCATCTCCCAGGCACAGGGGTGCACAGGGCAGCAACATATGCTCTTCTGGGTTTTGGCTGGCTGGGATTTGGGGTTGTTGGCAGATGAAGTGAGTAACTGATGAACTCCAGCAGGAAAAACCCAAAGCCACCCACTTTCAGCTCGGGCTGGAAGCACTTGAACATTCATATTTGCTTCAGAGCAATGCTGGTGGTTTGTCCGTTAATCTGGTGAGTCTCTTACCACTTAGGGGCTCATTTCCCTCCTGTCTTTTATTACTGCTGTCACAAAAACCTGGGGGTTCTCTGGGACACAGGCTGGTCTCTGTGTTTAGAAGAACCCCAGCCACACCTTGTGGTCTCCTGGCACACGGAGGTGACACATCTCACTCCACGAGCTCAGGTTCAGTCCTTTCTGGGCAACAGTGAAATTCCTTATGTGACAATAAGACACAAGTCCCTCATGGAACCGTCACTTGGTCAGAATCTCTCAAGGATCTTTCCTCTCTTTCAGGTATGAGGACGCATTCCAGGTCCACAGCTCTTCCACAGAGTTCAACCAGAAGCCACTGGAGAGGGAGAACGAGCGTCTCCAAGCCATGGTGAACTCCCTGAGGTCCCAGGTCAACCAGGAGAAGCAGCGGAAGGAGAGGGTGGAGCGGGAGTACACCTCCGTTATTCAGGAGTACTCGGACCTGGAGCAGCGGGTGTGCGAGATGGAGAACTGCAAACTGCGCATCAAGGAGCTGGAGGCAGAGCTCTTGGAGCTGCAGCAGATGAAACAAGTCAAGAAGTATTTGCTCAGCAGAGAGGACAACTTGTCCGAAGCCCTGCTGGAGCCGCTGAACAACGCCCCGGAGGCAGATTACATCGACCTCTCCGAGGAGGAGGGAGGGAAAAGCCACGGCACGTCCATGACACCGTCCCCGAACCACCCCGTCCGGAAGAGCTGCAGCGACACGGCCCTGAACGCCATCGTGACCAAGGACGCCGTGAGCCGGCACGAGGGCAACTACACCCTGCACGCCAACAACGTGCGCAAGAGGGGCATGTCCATCCTGCGGGAGGTGGACGAGCAGTACCACGCCCTGCTCGAGAAGTACGAGGAGCTCCTGAGCAAGTGCCGGCAGCACAAGGACAGCGTGCGCCACGCGGGCGTCCAGACCTCCCGGCCCATCTCCCGCGACAGCTCCTTCAGGGACTTCCGAGGGGAGGCACACGAGCTGGAGGAGCGGAAAACCATGGAGAAGACCATCAGCAAGCACGTGGAGGCCGTGGACAAGCGGCTGGAGCAGAGCCAGCCGGAATACAAGGCTCTCTTCAAGGAGATCTTCTCCCGCATCCAGAAGACGAAAGCAGACATCAACGCCACCAAGGTGAAAAACAAGAGCAGCAAATGAGCCCCCGGCTCTCCGCAACTCTCCCACGTGCAATTGCAGCAGCCACGTCCTCTCTTCAGCCCCAGGAAACGCCACGTGGCCCCTCTGCTTTGAAGGTTCGAGAGGTCTGAGAGCGAGGAAACGTCCCGGAGACTCAACTCACTTTTTTTTTTTTTAAGTTTGGGCTCTGGACAACTCGTTGGGACACTTGTACATTGTAGTTAGAGGATTTCAGAAATCATATGATGGATCTCTGCATGAGTTACTGCCGCTGCCAGACATCACAAGAGCAAGGTAAACCACGAAAAAAAGGAAAACCGGTCACCTCCTCCACCCCTTTCCAGCTTGTCCCGCAGCCCGATTATCTGCAAGCAAAAGCCTGGATGTCCTCCAGCGTCCTGCCACAGCTGGATCACAGCATTTCAAAGTGAAACAAAAAGCCATCAGAACTTTAGGGGCTGCCCCAGCACGGCAGCCCAGCCCTCCACTGTGGTTTTATGGCTGAGAACCTACGCTTGAACCCAAGAGATTTCAGTCTCTGCCTTCTCCTCCCCCAAAAGGCAGTGTGGTCTTGCAATTTAAGCCATTCTCTAATCAGTCAGGTTTTTCAGCTCTTTACAATGCAAGCTCATTGCAACTGGAAAAACTTGAAGAGAAACATAGAACTGATTGTTCCATCTCCATTGGCGTCGCTCAGCGTTTCAGTCCATACTCTCCAGACCTTGTAGCATATGGGACCTCCTCGCTTTAAATCTGCCCTGGTATTCCAGCCCAGGTGAAGCACCATGCCTGGTAAGAACTCGAGTGACCAGGGCTTTCCCATAGCTGGTGTGTCAGAGACACGCTTCCACCTCACGCTCTGGGTACCAGCCCGTGCTCTTCAGGAGGTTGTCATTGTCCCATCGTAGCCAATTCCTCGAACACAGCTTGCATGGGCTTGCAAAGCTGACTCCCAGGGACTCACACACAAGCTGGAGGACACAGCACCTCCCTGGTCAGGAGCTCTGGCCCTGGCAGATCACACACCACCCCACACTTTGCTCTGAGCATCTCCCCAGCCATGAGGACAGATTTCAGTTTCCTGCTGAAAATGATCTCCCTTGGCTGAGACACTCTCCAAACGCTGTGGCCTCTCGTGTTCCATCTCCCTTTCCAGCACTGAAATCTCCTCACTTTTGCTTCCACAGACATGCAAACACACAGCCAAAAGGCCACTGCAGTCTCAGGAAATCACCAGTTTCCAGTCTTCACGAACTAGATGTTGACCTCATACGGTCAGACACGTGTTTTAGGCAGAGAAGCAGCATTTCATTACAGCTTAGGCGACACCCTGAGCACTGAGCCACAAAAACAGTTCGGTGTAACCTCCCTGTCCCGTACCCGCCTGGAGAAAACTATCAGCTGCATCTGGATTCTATTTTCACCAGCTTAAATCCCAAAGTCTTGGGCCAACAGCTGGGACTCCTGCAACATTGAGATAAACAAATGAGAATGTGGCTTTGGAGGGGGAAGACTGCTGAGATGTAATTATCCCCCACGTCCAGGGCCTTGATGTTACGAGGAGCAACTTTTCTTCCAATCCCCATGGAATTCATGCAGAAATACCCCCCAAAACCCCCCTGTTTTGTTAAGCTGAGTACCACAGAGGTAAGTTGGCGGGAGTGTGATGCCCAAATCACCCCTGCTCCGCAGGTCTCCTCAAAACCACCCACCACTCTGCTCTCCCACGCTCTGCATTTGCAGGTGCCCCACGGCCCCTGACACAGCCCGAGCCGTGGGCACGACTGTGGCTACCAGCTCTGTAACTGTATGGAGAACCTTCATGCCTTATTTATTTATAATGGAAAGCAGTTGTCTAAAATAAAATAAATTAAATAAAAACAACAATAAAAGCAGAATCATTGACTTTCTGGGAGCATTCACCCCCCCACCCCCGTTAACTCAGCACGTGGAGCAGTGTTGGTTTAAGCCCAGCCTGTGTTTGCCCTGCACTCAGCTGATGCTGCAGAGGTGTGGGAAGAGAATCACCCTCACTTTCCATTTTAAACAACCCCACGTGGATCAGCATCACAGTTAAGTGTACAACACATCAAACATATTTTTAAATGCTTTCTTCTCTCCTCAGATAAAAAGAGGCATTCTCAAAGCTCTTACAGCTCTTTTTACCTTTTAAGAACAGCAGAAGAGTTATTTCTTTGATTTTCATGTACAATTTGGGTCAAGAAAATGCTTCAGGCTCCTTTGCAGGAAGCAAAGAGAATATGCTGAACTGTTCTGCTGCATTATTTATATAACACACATTTTTATGCACTTCGACTGTAACACTTGCCACGCGATAAAACCCCTCTTTTTGTCAGCTCGGAAGTCTCTGCAAAACCACACAATTTCCAAGCTCCCAATTCAAAGCCTATTTTTGTTTTGGTCTTTTTTTTGCAAACCACAAATCCAAAAATGACTGATGTGAGTAACATGATATTAGTGCTTGGCTTGACAAAGGCACAGCTGCCGTGGATCAGCAGCGAGTTCTGCAAAGTGCTGAGGGCAATTTTTTTTTTTTCTGCAGCCAAAAATATTAGTGGCCATATATACCCGTCCTGATGACTGTGTGAGTCACAGTCACTTGATTGTTGTCTTAAGTGAGGCTTTCGGTGATCAAAGGAGGAAAAAATAATCAATTTCTGGCCTTTTGAGCCACCTTTGATCTAAACTTTTCCAATTGCTGTTAAGCAATCACACTGCTACAGGAACTGGGGTAACAGAGAGCAGCAGCTACTTAACAGCACACCCTCATGGTTCATGACAGAAAGAAAAATGCTGCATGTTATCAAAATGGATGAGAAAAAGTGTGATAGGAAAGGAAATCATTCTTAATTTCAGAATTTGGCAAAATCAGTGACCCTGTTCAGCTCACAGCAATAAGATCAGTAAGGGCACAGCTTGTCAAGAAGTTGAAGGATGGCATTTGGACTCGTGCAGTTCCATCAGATGTAGTCTGGTTTCTTACCATACCACCAGTTTGAATAACCCTTCTGAAACGAACAGGGAGGGGGCATTTGAAGCACAAATTCAAGGGTTTTACAGAGCTCAAACTCTCACAGGGAAGGAGATCTCCTGATTCATCAGTCTTCCCTCTCTAACAGGAATTGAGACCTTCTGGAAGGTCCCTCAAAGTCCTGATTTGCCCCCTCATTAACAGCCTGTGCCCTCACTCACACGAGGAATGACCGGCTCCTTGGACACACCAGCCCTTCCCCCAGGATTCAGGGATGGCTCCTTTCAGCTCTTGCTCACCAGTGAGCACCAAACAGGGTGAATTGGCTTCCTCAGCCCCCATCAGTGCCAAAGCACTTCATTCCTCCAGCTGGAAGGCCAAAAGTTTGGCTCTCCTTGGCTCATGCCAAAGTCAGACGTCGTCGTCCCAAGCCCTGCCTGCCAAGGAGAGCTGTTTCCAGCCATCCAAGAAGAGATTATCCAGCTTTTTACCAGGGCTCTAGGGACCAACAGTGTGGGAACAAAGCAAAACCAGACAAATGTCCTTTTAGACTGGTCTGGCTTCACCTGTGAGACCTCCCAGCTCCTTCGCCAGCCCCTCTGTCCCCCACACACCTTTAGAGGCTGTTCCTGCACAACAACCACCAGGCACGTTTGACAACAGCTGGTAAATGAGTCATCCTGCTTGGAGTATTTTAGACAACCTCCTGGCTACAAATCACAAACATTTACCTGTTCCCTGTTAGAAATTAAGGTCACCAGATGGCACGGTTTGCCTCCGACAGCTCTGGGTTTTTTCCTTTAAGCATTTTGTTTTCAGCTGAGTTTGAAGGGGGAGCAGAGCAGAACCCCAGGACTCAGGGACTCAATTAAAACAAAGTGGGGAGCCCCCCTTGGCCCTGAGCTGCTCAGTTACAGTCAGGACAGACCAGCTATCCATGTTCAGGACCTGCTCCCTTCCAAGGGACCGAGTTCTCTGATTTTGCACTGATTATCTGGATGGGACTCAGCTCAGATCCTCAGTCACAGTCTCTGTATCAGCTTCTGAACACCCATTTTGACTTCATCCACGGTTTTAAACAAGAGATTGTCAGCTCCTGTCAAAACACCAGAGCAAATGGCAGCCCATCCCTGCCTGTGCATTTTCCTGCTGCCAGGAATAGCAATCCCTGCCCCTCTGGAACGCACACCCTTCTTGTCAAGCCAGCCTGACAGCTCCAAGAGGAGTAAAAGCCAAAGGATTTCCACAACAGCCTCACTGACCTGCATCCCACATCCACCTCAGCGTCTCCTACAGACCCAGAATCAGCATTCAAAGAAATAATTGTATATATAAATATATATGTATGTGTGTGTGTGTGTAGAACCTTTTAGCACTCTTTACCACATAAAAACACAAAAGCTGAAGCATCCCAGGTGCAAAAACCAGACAATACATTAAAAAAAAAGGCCAGATGTGTTTGCCAGCACTGGCCATCACTGCTCTGCTCACCAAGGGCCGGGGTGCACAGACCCCATAACCACCCCTAACCCCTCTTTGGGTGCTCTACACACCCCACGCACCCCACAGGCGACCCCCGCCCTGCCGGTCCCGCCCCGGAACGCGGGGCGCGGCCGCCGTTTCCGCGGGGACGCCTGGCCGGGGCGCACCGCGGGGCCGACATGGCGGCGCACACGCTGCGGGCCCTGCGCGGGCCGCGGCCGGGGCTGGCGCTCCTGTCCGCCCGCTGCTCGCTGTGGGCCGGCATCGGCACCGAGTACCGGAGCTCGCACAGCCTGGACAAGCTGTACCCGCCGGGGCAGGACAAAACCGCCGCCCGCGCCCCGGTGAGCGGGGCGGGGGGGGGAGAGAAGGGAGGGCGAGGGGCGGGGCTGACCGAGTGATTGACAGGGCGCGGTTTAGAGCAATTGGGGAGGTGGGCGTGGTTTAGAGAAAGGGGCGGGGCTTCGTGCACTTACCTGTATAGTTGTGGGTGGGCGTGGCCTCATCAAGGGGGCGTGGTGTCTGTGGGTGGGCGTGGCCTCATCAAGGGGGCGCGGTGTCTGTGGGTGGGCGGGGCCGCGCCGGGACCGCGCCCCCGGTACGGGCGGGACCCCCCGAATCCCGCGGGGTGTTCCCGACGCCGTCCCCGCCGTGTTTTGCAGGAGCAGCCGCCCACCCTCGACATCCCCATGGGTGAGTCTCCCCCCGACACACCCGGGCCTGGGCGCCGTTCCCGGGCACCGAGTCCGCGCTCGGAGCTGACCGCGGGATCGGCCCCATCCCGGCTCAGCTCGCGGCTGCCCTTCCCTTCCAGCTCGCCTGACCGTGTCCTACAGCCGGAGCAGCGGCCCCGGCGGGCAGAACGTTAATAAAGGTGAGGAATGGCTTCTCCCACGTGGAAAGATCATCGTCATCATCCGCTGTTCCTCTGTACTGTGTGGCAAAATATTGAGAACTTGGAGATAAACAGCATCTTCACTCGTTTTTCATTGTCATCACCCTGCATTTTAATACAACTTCTGAGTCTTCATGGGGCTCGAGACCACTGGCAGCACATTTGATTCCCCTAGAAACACTCTTACTGGGATCATTCCTCCTACATGGAACACCCCCACCTCTGTTCTATTGTCTATGAAAACAATGTTTTCATTGATCTCTCCACTGTGCAATAAATTCTCAATTTAATTCAAAAAAACCCTAAAATACTGCCTGTTCTGCCATTGCCATTAAAAATAAAGTGGGTAGTGACTGGCAACAGCAGCAAACCCTGTGGTGCCTAGAAAGGCAAATAGCATGACAGGTACAAGTTTGTCTTGCAGAGTGATATGTAAATATATAGGAAGTAAAAAACTGATCTTTCATTAATAATGCTGGAATAATAATTAATTCATTAATAATACTGGAATTATCCCATGCTGAAAGCCAGCAGTGAACAGAGTGAATTATCTCATAAAACTTAGGGAGGCAGGCTGTGACATGGAAATAAAGTGCCTCTTTTTCCTCCCAGTGAATTCCAAGGCAGAAGTTCGGTTCCACCTGGAGTCAGCAGACTGGATTCCTGAGGCTGTGAGAGAAAAAATGGCAGTGATGGTACTGACCCTCCCCCTCCAGCCTCTGTTCAAATGTCTCAGTGTCAGACGGGACAATCCTAAGGAGGTGTCGGTGATCACATCACGTTTTCCCCCCTTCAGCACAGGAATAAGATAAACAGGGCTGGGGAGCTGATTGTGACCTCAGAAGAGAGTCGCTACCAAATGAGGAACCTGGCGATCTGTTTGGAAAAAATCCAAACCATGGTCACAGAGGCCACAGAGCAACCCAAGGTGGTGTCTAAGGAGACAGCACAGAAACTCATAGAGAGGTATCTTCATTAAAATGGTCTTTGCTTGCATTCAGGCTGTCAGGTTGCACGATTTAGTTTGCAGCATCTCTAAACAATCTTCTTCATGCTCGTTTGGATGTCACTTTTTTAAGAAAAATCACTGATCCGGTAGATTTTAACTGCTTTCCTGGGTAATGTCCCGAAACAGGGACTTTTTCCTATGTGTGGATGTTTGTTGGCTCATCAAATCTCAAAGTTGAATATTTAAATGTTTTCTTCGTACACTAAATGATCTTTTTCTTTTAGGGTGGAAAAAGCGAACCGTGAGCGACTACGACAGAAAAAGATACACTCAAACATAAAACAGAGCAGGAAGGCGGATTTTGACTGAGAGCAGCAGAGATCCAAGTCCTTGGCATTCCATCTTCCTAAATAAGTGGCACTGGCAGCTGTAGATGATGCTAAACTCATGAGCTGTATTGAATAAAAATGGTCTAAAAGTGTAAATAAAAATATTTAACATCTTTTGAGCCCAGTGATACACCTGGAACATCCTGTCAATCATTTTTCAGAAAAATTACTGTTCACATTTAAGAGGAACT